AAAATGTTCTCGACTTTACACTTATCTATTTATTTGATACGTTTTGTCGTATTGATATATTAAACAAACTAAAAAACACAACATTTAAATTCCATAATTTAATAGGTAAATTATGAAATTATACATTCACCATTCACTCACTGTCTCACTGTACTCATATCTATTATACCACGCTTAGATATTATGATGTATTAATCTTTAATGTATGCTTCTATGCTAGTATAATATAAATTAAGAATAAATATCATTAATATGATATTGGCTGTATATTCTCTCTATTGTCCTAAAATGAAAGGACCCAAATATGAATCAGGTACCTCAGTTACCTGAATTGAATACAAAATTATTCATCAATCCTTTATATTTTTTTAATTCATTGTTTTGAACATTTTTCTCCGTCTTTTAGAGGCAACACTTTAAAATTGTCTGTTAGACATGTTTTTTTTTCAAAAGTCAATAAGAGATAGTGTAGGTAGGTACCTAATTTTTATTTTTAATAATCAAATAAAAAATTAATATAATAGAGTAGGCAGGGCCGCATTTAGGGGAGGTCGCTGGGTACATTTGCCCCGGGAGCCAGTATTTTAGGGGCGCCAAAATTATGTGGTCAGAAATTTGTTTACTTGTGAATTATTAAAATTGTATTATTTTAATTATTTTAATAACAGTATAATTTAGTATAATAGTACTATATATGTGTAGTATTATACTGTTTGATTTTTTTGAATTAATATTAATTTGCATAGTTTTATATTATTTTGTTTTATTTATTCATGAAGTACCTACATAAATATGTTAAAAAAAACAACGTATATGATGAAATGATGAATTATAAGCAAGGTTTAAGTGACATAAATTCAAATGTATCTTTGCGGAGAGAGGATCAAGAAATTACTAAGCAATATTTTAAAAAAAGCATACATCGTACAACAAATATTCTTTTCTGTGCTCAAAGTCCAAAAGGTTAATAAGGATCTATCTCCCATATTTTAAGTGGGTAGGCCCCTTAGGGGGGAGCAATTTTTTTTCACCGGGGCTTAGAGGGAGCCAATTTTTTTTGCACCTGGGCGCAAAATGTCTAAAGGCGGCACTGAGAGTAGGTACGCAAAAATAAAACTGACAAAAGTACAAAATAACATATCTGAAACCAATAACACTGCATCAAGGCAAAGGCATGTCCGTAAATCATAATCCATTTACATATATTAAACAATAAATACATATAACCACGGTTACATTATTATTTATTAGTTTGTCCAGCAAGATACTGCACTAGCGCGAGTTCACGAGCCTCTGAGATTGAATAAATAGTACGATTATACGAAAATAGTATACGATGCATAAGTACTATATAATATAATATAATTAATGTGTATATAAATAAATATGTAAAACAAACAATAACAATGATAAATAGTATTACTTATCTAAAATTCAAACCGTCGAAAATAAATGGTTGTCACTTGTCAGTAACATCTTAAAATAATAAAATTTGTTCATTTTATAATAAAAAGTTATAGAAAGTTAGAAAATTTAGGACTTTAACCTTAGGCCCCTAATACAACCTTGGTCTTGAGGCCTCGGTGCAATGCACCCCCGCTAAATCCGGCACTGCACATACCAGCTGTTAAATGTTAGGTGCGCCATTATACCCCAGGTTACTCTACTATTTAGTATCAAAGCACGGACTAAGATATACAGGACTGGACACGACAAGGTTGGAGGGTGTGGGGGGGTTGACTACGAAATGTTTTACAACAGGCAGTGTTCGGGGGATATTTTCCTTTTAGCATTACTAGCGCCGTCCTAGTGGATACTTATGGAACTAGAACACATCATACAAATTTATAGTTCCATAAGTATCCACTAAGACGGCGCTAGTAATGCTAAAAGGAAAATATCCCCGCGAACTCCGCCTGTTGTAAAACATTTCGTAACCACAATATTCATCTCGTGTCCAGTCCTGTATATCTTAGTCCGTGTATCAAAGGTTTCTATCATAAGCATAAGTAACCCATTTTTTTGAGAGATAACAATAACTAAATAATTAATACAGATAGAGAGATACTTAAATGGTCGTAGCCCATTCGGCTGCCGTTTTACAAAAAGGGCAATTCCCAAGCGGCTCCCGTCTAAAAAGGTCTAACGACCAGGTAAATTCCTAAACGGTTCCGGTTTTGTACACCACAAATTCCTTCCCACAGAATTATAGACTTAGTACTCTTTCAAGTCTCAAAAGAGGTATGGTTAAAAATGTCTTGGTGTACACTATGTAAATTATTAAAATTATATAAAAATAGTATAGTATAATATTAAATTTTTAATTTTTAACGTTAAAAAAATATATAAATAAAAATATTAAAAAAATCATATATCATCGGGTAAATTTGTTAAGCACGATTTTTTTATATAGTCTAGGCGTGATATTATATTTGATAAAAACTCGCATATGATTTTTTCGACGAACTTGCTTTTTTTTCGATCTTGGTGTATTAAAATAACTTCGAGCTTTAATTTGCGTTTCAGATTGTATAGGTATTGATTAATATGTCAATAACCTTAAAAATATTTGGATGGTAGTATTGAATTTGCCAAAGTTTAATATTAATTTTGTCTAAACTATCTTGAGCTTCTTCTGTTGATTTTGGTAATTATGGTAAGAATTTTGAACGAACATAGTATACAGATTTGCGAATTTTTTTGGACGGTAGCCGTTTGGGATCCGACGACTTAAATACAATAAAAATACATTACCTATTAGCTATTATAGAAAGGCCACAAACTAGCTCATACCCGGCCCACTAATGACAAGGGGGGAAAATTACAAATGGTCCAAGATACATTAATTATGCATTTGTGCCCAATGTGGCGAAAATTACTCATCCCTTGGTGGCAATACGTCCAATAGAGCACTGTACTACAACTAGGGATTACCAGGTAAACTATAATCTATAAAAAATGTGCGAGTGAGGGGACAGCGGTATTTGAATTGTATGTAATTATAAATTATAATATATAGATTAAATATTATATTCAGATAAAGCTAGTCTTGCACTACAATTTCTCAATAAATCCAGTACTCGTCCACCCAAGCACCCCTTTCAAATTACCGGGCACTTGTCCTTCAAAATCACGGTAAACAACCAGTGGTTGTACTTGACTCAAGATTCCATTCTTAAAAAATTTGTATCGCTACTTATTGCTCAGTTGGGTATGTACATACCAGATAAATCATTAATAATATACCAGTACAGAGGACTAGAGGTAATGACAAAAAAAACAAGAAAATATGATATAAATTATTTCAAAAATGTACAATTTATTTATTATGCAAAAAAAAAATTATAATAATGTATTTCAGTAGATTATACTATATAACTAATAGTATATTATGAGGATGTATATTACCTTTAATATCTTATATAATTATATGTATATAATAATATATAGTATACACGTATAATATATTAATACATTTATAAACATTTATATAAGAGATAGGCATGTATAATTTATAATGATCGTAATATTATTATATATAATATATATATATATATTTATATATTATGTATACATCAATGAAAAAGTCACAATATATAATGCTGGACGATTGCAGCAGAATCCACTAAACAAGGTGCCAAAATTACTCGAATCATTCACTTAGTGAGACATAATAATTAGACATTTAAGACATAATGAGTGATCTTCTACTCGCAGATAAGTTTTACATATTAATAAGACACAATTAAATTGTCGTCCCTCCGTTACAACGACTTTGACAAAATTTAGTACAGACATGACGTTAACCGTGTACTACGATTGAATAAATTGTAGCCTAATGACCAATTTTATTTGGACTGCACACCCTATTAATTCATACATTAAAAAAAATGCTATCAACATAATTATTAATTAAATCATTATAGAACTACTAATATTAGTTTTAAAAATAATAAATAAATAAGTACCTATAATAATAAACAAAGCCAAATGTATTGGATTTGTTTAATAGTGTACGCAAAAAATAAATGCATATTTGCATAATATGAGTGAAAAAAAAACTATTTGTTTAAAGATCATTTTATTGGAGTTTTTTTTCGTGTTTTACTTTTAACGTTTTATTTGTTTTACGTACACGATTTTGACATTGTGACTGTCAATTACTGCCAAGTAACAAATCTAATTCACTATATTTTTGTTTTAAGTATAAATTAAATTCATTATAATAATAATTATTATTGTTGTATTATTAACGTTGTATTGCGTAATATTAACAATAAAAAAAGTATATATTGAAGTCTTTTTCAAAATAATATTATATTTTTTAAATTTTTATTTAAGAAAATTGTATTTTATAAAATGTCTACGAATATTAAGGATATAGTAATGAATATAATTTTTAAAAATTGTTTTGTGAAAATTTTTATTTGAAATTAAAATTTCAAACAAAATCATATAGAACACACTGTTAATAGAAAAAATATATATAAATAAATAATGATTTTTTTTTGTTTTTAATTTTAATTAGTTAGAAGTAATCTGTTAAGCCCATTTGCTTGCTGACAAACATGATAGATATTTAAATTTTTGCTAACACTTAATAAATCTCAATATTGAGGTCTTCTAGGAAAAATACCTAATCTGTTGTTCCACTTATAAATATATATATGTATATAAATATGTGTATATTGTTGTGTCATGCATTAAGAAAGCAGATTTCAAATATCTTTTTTTTGTATTTAACATGACTATTTTTACATTGAGAAAATAAAAAATATAAATATCTATAAGTGCAGAAAAGAATTCTAATACAATTACATTAATTCCCACACATTTTTAAGATGCTATCTTTTGTTGTTAATTATTATTATTATTTTATAAATATTTTAAATAAAATATTTGTGGTTTGAAATCTTTATACCACAAGAAATGATTTTTTTTTTAGAAACAAAAAATTATCTTTATGTTTCTTTTAGATGTTATAATAGTAGGTTTAAAACTTAGGCAGAATCGGCATCAGGTGCAGATGATGAGCCATTTACTATGACTTGCTGTCCATTAGCTGCTGATGTCGTGGTGCTGTTGGACTTGTTCTTTGCAGGAGACTTGTTCTGTTGACCTTTGGACTTTTGAGTTTTAGCTGGTTTGGTGTTTCCGTTGTTTGCATTACCATTATTAGTACTTCCATTGTTGGTAGTCTGAGACGTGCTGATTGGTTCACTTTTATTATCATTAGTGAAGTCATACGACCCTAAACGATCAAAACATCATTAGCTTAGAAACATGTTAATAAACAACTATAACAAAATTCAATCTAGAATAAGAGTACAACACCAGGAAATCTATCAAATTTGCGCATGCTTGACCCATATTAATAATTAATCCCGCGAGCCACTGGCGATCATGGCTGCCAACAATGGATAGCCAATATTCTAAAGAGGCTTGCCATTGCTCGAGACCTTGTTTAACGTGCTCAAAAGTGCTGTACTCTTATTCTATATAAGCAGTGGTTCTCAACATTGTTATGTTCATGGTACCCCTAAGTGTTTTATAAAAGCAACCAAATACTATAATATGTATTATAAATGCTTTACATTTTCAAAAATTGTACAGGACATTTAAAGACAGTTTGCGACACACTGGTTGAGAACCATTGTTATATAGAGCATAGTTTAAAATAACTGCAGTAGTTAATTTAGCAATGTAAAATGTATAATATGTAAATATGTTAGTGTAATTAAATTTCTAAAATGATAAATATACAAAAGTATCTATAAGCAAACAAATTTATGTCTAATTATACTATTCTATGATTATATGTGCTTTTGTTCATAGGTTTGGTTATCTAAGTAATATTATTAAAATACATATTATGCTCAATGTTAATATACTAATGAAAAGCATGCAAAATAAAGGTATTGATCAACAACGTAATTACCATATTACATTGGGTACTACATAAATATACAGTTGCTATCAAAATACAAATATGTAGCTAATCTATTATTTATTTAATAATGACAAATTTAATGAGGTACTCTTGCATCATAGTCACTGGGTCTTTCCAAAAAACTTTTTTTTTTTAATCCTTTTAACACAAACTTCTATCCGTGCTTTTATTATTTACAAGCTTTTTTTTTAGTTATGCATTACTTACAGTCATTAGCATTGTCACTATTACTACCAATGGGATTAGAATTGATTGATGGTTCACCTTGAGCAGCAGCTATGGCGCGATTTCTTCGTTTTTGACTGCTTTTTGACTTCGGTGCTTGCGCGTCCACACTAGATACAGACTCTAGCGCAAAATAAAATAAAATAAGAGAAAAAAAAACGATAAGAAAAAACCATAATATTAAATAAAAAGTATTAATTCAAAACCGGTAAAAATAAAAGAAATATTATTTATTTTCATTTAGGAACTCCTCCGCACTTAGTATTTTACTTATGGAAGAATAATTTTTATAAATAGTTAAATTTAAGTTTTAATACCAGAGTTAATCTGAAGTTAATTTTCTTAGAATATAAATTAATACAAAAATTAGCCCACTGCTTCAGAATGGATCATATTATAAACCTATTTTTTATAGTGTCAACTACAGATTTATTCAAGTATGAAAATTTTTACAATTAATGGATTCCATAATTAGTAGTATTATACTATGAATAGTACTTAAAAAGTGAAGCAAAAAATAGCACTATGAAATCACTCAATATCGACTGACTTCCAACATTGATTTTACTCTTTGACTTATGAAAGATGTGGTGTCTGATTTTAATGTTAGAAACTTAAATACAACATAAGTAAAGAAAAAAAATGTTGAAATATAATGAATATGATAACTTATGTAACATTAGGATATTTCACTAAATATTAAAGAAAAAAAAAATTCAAATAATTATTTCATTCTGGTTTTTAGTAGCATGGCTTTGCAGGTCGATTTAACGGTTAGATTATATTTTTAAATTCTATAAATACATTTATTATAATATCAATAATAATAATATTTTTTAGACTCTCCATAATAGCAAATTATAGTGTTAACTGAAGCTAATAAATGTTTATAGTATTATTTTGTATTACCCCATATGGCCATAGCAATGTCCAAATATTTGTGTTAAAATTTAAGTCAGTTAAAAATATTGTTCAAATCACAAATATAAAAAATGAATTGAGAATTTGAGATCTAGGTTTAAACGCTCTATAGTCACAATTATTAAAACAAATGTATTAATTATAATATGTTTAGGTTTAGGTTCACAATTCCAACAATTTTAAAGCTTTTAATCCTATGAAATATTTAAGCACAAATGGTATTATTAAAATGATGACAAATTATTTTAAAATTTGAATTGTGTTGCACTGGATTCATACCTAGTTAAAATTAAATTTATGTGTATTAATAAAATTTTGCCAAAAAAGTGCTAAATAATAAAATTAAAGCAATCTAAATCTACTTTTTCTTCCACAGCCTTAGTCTAATAACATACTATACTCATTATCATTATTACTTTTTTTTGAATTGATCAAGCAACAATTTTGAAAACATCATTCAAAAACAAAAAAAAAAAAAAAACAAACAAACAAACAAACAAAAGCACAAATAATGATTAACAACTTAGTTTATTACCTCTATCACCACTGTCTTGAGCGTTATCAAGAACTGTATGCTCATCATCAGCAGTTCTTCTTCTATCATCCATTCTCCTGTTTCCACCACCTCTGGAACCTCTGGGAGCTGAATTACTACTACCACCACGACGTTCTCTGGATAAGTTGTTTCCCTGACCACTTGATCGGTTGTACTGGTATTGATTTGTACGTTGGGGAGGTGGCGGAAGTCTATCATCAACTCCATCTGGATGTTGGTTTCTACTACTACCACCTAAAAATAGTAATATTTATTTATAAATACTGTACTTTTTTAAGTCTACAAAAAAAAAATACATACTATTGGTATAAAAATCATGTCTTCCACCTCGACCACGGCCCGAGGTACCTCTAGGTCTGCTACTTCCTCTTCCCATAGAGTTACCTAAGCCATTATTCATGTTTTCGCTGTCAGCATTAAAGTTACTGTACAAATAAAAACAAATAATAAATAGTTATAGTTAAATATTTAACAGATGACTAAACTCAGTTTTTGCACAGTTGATGTAAGTGATTATATTGTGAAAATTGCACAAAATGTTTTGTAAATATTATTTTATGTTTATGAAATCCTTAAAAATAACTAATACAGCAAAATAGGTTGTTAAATGTACCTACAACAATATAATGAAAATCTATTTGATTCAATATTGATTTGTCAGAATAAAATATTTTAATCAATTATTAGTTTATTATTTACCTAATTCTGATATTAAGGGATTGTTACGAAGAAGTAATGTGTACAAACTAACAGCTTGATCACCAATAATCTAAATTGTAATATTTTGTATTTTATTAATTGGTAGTTTCAACAGGAAAAACAATTTTGATGGACTAACACATTATATTTCAAAATATTTATTCAGATAACAAACCTAAGCTGAAACATACTTGAAAGACTTTAGCATTAATAATAGCTTATTTAAAAATTATATATACTTTGGATTCCACCTAATATTGCAACTTACATAAAAAAGAAGGATACACAGAATATATTTTGTCAATTGGCTCTACTTATATCAATCTGCATATTTTTAGGTGTAGTTAACTTAACATTTGAAAATACAATTCTTACTTAATCAAATATGTTTAAATTGTTTTTGCTAGAAAATATTATATTTCATTAATTTTAATTTTAAAGAGTTCATATATTTAAATATGAAAATGTTGGTCAATTCATGCCAATTATATTTATATTGTATGCAATTTAACTTTTAAAAATTGCACGTTTTTAATATTGTTATTGATACATTAAGCCAATATAAAAAGGTTAGTTTAAGCACAAATAAATTGAGCAAACAAATTATGTGTGAAAAGGATATGTAACATTTATATTTCAATAATACATGAGATTTTAGGTGTGTTTTGAGCATACATTTGACAGATCTCCATGTATGGCTATATCTAACTTTTTATAAATACAGCAGAGTACTTAAATTTATTTTTTCGCAAACCAGCAAATATAATTTCATATAATTATACTATTTTACCGGTCATTTCGCCTTTGCATCGTATAATTTTGAACCAAGGGGTAAGAAGCTGGTCCAGTACTGTGAATACTACGTAACTCTTGCTCCATTCCCATTTTTTCTTGCCTAATTTGTTCAAGTTCCTAAATATAAAATTTTCTAATTAGTTTATTTATTCTAGAATAAACAGATTAAATAAATACTTTAAGGTGTTCTAAATGATATTCTAGTAGAACTTTAGCATTAGATATGCTTTCTACCGTGCCAACAAACACAAAAGGAACTTGACCCTCTTCACGAGGAATGGTAGGTTGTGGCTCATTATCACCTTCAATTTTTACTCTGATCTACAATAATAAGAAAAAAAATAACTGTATAAATTTAAATACTAATGATAATAACCAATCATCTAAAAATTAAATATAACTATTTAAAAAAGACATAATATATTTTTTTAATGTCAAAGTTAGAATAAACAACTATACCTACTAGTATAGTAGGTATACTAACTGACAATAAAACCATTAAAATAATCGTACAGTATTCCTAACATAACTTACTGAATTTTTTTTTTTTTTATTACACCCTACAAATACCAATGATCAGAAAAATAATGAATACTAAATAAAAATTATAGGAATCTTCAACAAGAAGTAATATTTTGTGTACCATTTCTAAAAACGCAAAATGTTTCCAATGCCTTAAAGTCAATAAATAAATGTCTGTATAGAAATACTGTGTTAGTAAAAGAAAAATTTTAAATGCAATAAATATTGGGCCTTCCAAACTACTAATTTTAAAAATAATACAAGGATAAAAAAAATAACTCACCACTCCGCTCTTGTCAACAATATCTTGGATGTTTCTACCATTTTTACCAATTACTTTTCCAATGAAATCTCTTGGAACTTGAAGAAATTCTTCTCTATACTCTAGAATTCCTCGAGCTTTCATTACAGCGTCTTTATTCTAAAAACAAGATTATTAGATATTTTTACTTAAGTACTATAGAACTAACTTACTTCTCCATAAATTTTAAAAACGCCAGTATGTTCATCTAATTCAATATTTGTAATACCGTCAACCCTGCGAGCTTGTTGGATATTAGTGCCATGAGCACCAATAGCCAAACCCATAAGGTCATCACGTACATTAAATTCATCAGTATAAGATGATGATGTTATCTGTAGCTTGGAACTTTCCAGTTGCCTGGCTAACTCTTCAGTCTTCTTAAGCAACATAACCTTTTGGTTCAGGTTTCTGAAGTGCATATCAGCTAACATCAATGCTCTTTTACTGGTCAATGGTGAACGAGATATAACACTCAATACTGATTGATCAGGATTATATAACACTAGAGATGCGCCAATTGCTTTCTGCAGATCTTTGTGGATACCATCTATTTTAGCACTAAAAGATTAAACACAGTTATTATTATAAATATATTTGTAGCTATGTTAAACTATTAAAACTGATTATAAAATTATTTTTGTTGTACATACGATTCTCTAACATCTTCAGGTACATCAATATCGAACTTGTAAAATGTATCGCCATTAATGTGAGAATTTATGTTACTGCATCTGACTCGATCAGGAGAGACTATTTCTGTAACTGTTGTGTTGAAATATTGGACAACAAACTGGGATGGTGGGTTACCACTGATAATTTTTATCACTGCTTTTACCCATCCATAACAAGGATGAGGTTCTCTGACTGATTTTACTTCTATTTCTTGATTATCAATAAACTCTGTACTGCATTGTTCATCTGACAAGGGAAGACGAACATTGTCACAATTGAATTTAGTTTCAGGATACCAACTAAAAAATATAAATGATGTATTATTATTTAGTAAGGTACTAATAATTTAATGTTTTAATATGATCAAGGACAATATGGGAAAAAATGTATAACAAGAATTTCCATAAATTATCAATATTTAGGTATAAGAAAACTCATTAGTATATTTTTTTTCCACTGCCCAATTTTTTTAACATCGATGGAAGGTAGATAATTTTAATTTAATTCCTTTCTATAAATTTTCATTAAATCTGCAATCATATTTAATTTGAAGAAAAAATGGAAAACGTGTTATTTATTTATCAATCTAATTCAAAAATATTAAAAAGCAATCAACAAGTGTTAAATTGGAAAACAAGAAAAAAATATATAAATATTATTTAATATTAACAAAAATTTAAGTTTTTAAAATAAATGAATTACCAACTCATTTTAGAGCAAACAAGTATTCAGTACTAGTAAGTGCATAGTACATTTTTATTTAACACAATATGTTTAGTTTTAGTATGAATAGAGAATGTACAAATTAAATTAAATATAATAGGTATATCTTAAAAATATAGTAGGTAGGTTATCTAGTAAATAATTATTTGACTGCTATGTCCCTTAGACTTGACAGCAAAAAACAACGTTGAACCCTTATGTCTCGTTAACACATATTTTTCTCATTTACAGCATATTATAGGATGAAAATCTCAAATAAAAATTTTCCAATCACATTAAGGTACCTAGTTATTTAATTTATTAGTCAAAAGGTTAAAGACTGGAATGCACTTGTAACAAAATTTGACTTATGAGAAGACAAATTTTTGAAACAATAGAAAGTATTAAACTACATACCTATTTGTTTACATTTTAGTTAACTAATTGCTCAAACAATTTATTGTAAACTATAGGTAGTGTTCTAAAATTATAATATACATTTATAACATTTATAGCATAGCGATGGTTAAGCTACTGGACATTTAGTGACAACTAAAATAAAATTAATGAGATTAATCCCTGGTTGCATGAACAATCACTAAACATTTAATCATGCATTCAATAGTGAGCCAATGGTTCACTAAATATGATTTAGTGACCCATGGTTAGTCTGTTAAAATTCAGCAAATTATTAATTTAATCAATGTATTATGCAACCAGGTGTAAGAACATTTACTTAAATCTACCAGTATCTATAGTCTAAAAAAAATAATCTTGATATAACTGAATAATTTAATATAAAACTTGACTTTATACTTAAGACATGATTTTTTAAGGCAAGTCCATGGGTTAGTTGTACTCTTTAAATACAAATTTGAAAATTATTCATAGTAAAAACAAACAAAGGTTCTTAATGTATAGTATACTTGTAATTTTGATAAAAATGCTTAAAAAAAATTATTAACATAAATAGATAAAAGATACTCACTCGTTAGGGAAAGAAACTAGAACTTCATTTTCCATTACACCCGTAACAAAACCCTAAAATAAAAAAATAAAATTAATTAATTCTTCAAGTTACTTACCATTTCCATAGATTAAGTAATCTTAAAATTGATCTTAAATAGGTAGGTACATACAACATTGTAGGACTCTACAGATCTTAAACCGTTTTAATGGTAACAGGAAAATATTAGGTAAAATATAATATATCAGTATAGATCATCATGACGTGTGTGTAGCAAAATTGTTAGGCATATCACATACTATTCTCATGAAATTCTTACCATACTTGTAACATTAAATGCTGATCAGCAAGTGTAGGTACTATGTGGTTACGTGTATTACAAGTAGGTAGGTACTTACATTGATTATTATCCTATATTTAGGGACAATAAAAAAATTATTTTATAAGCTTACAAGAGCTTAGTACAATAATTAAGCTTTGGTGAAAAATATGGATAGATAAATCTACTTGCATACTTATTTTAGGTAGTTGTATAAAAAGATCTTTAAAAGAATTGTATGTACATTAAAAGGAATTGAGTTTGCCACCATCATGTTAAAAAAACCATCATGTCAAATATGTTACTTATATATTTTGTACAGGGGTATTAAATTTAAAAACAATGTAAACAGCCAAATTTGAAAAATTATTTTCATCAAAGCTTGGTTAATCATGACTACTTAGAACTTCAGAAATATGTTGTAGATAAACACCCAAACACATGATAGAACTTAATCAACTGATTTATTTGGCTGCATACGCACTGAGTCCCAATAAAATCTTTTAGAACAAAATGACTCTCTGATAGTCTTACACTAGGTACATACCTACCACAAATTGAGTCCTATGCAATTTAAAATATAAATACTAACTGAGTCCCGTCTCAACTTCTATATAAAACATCTTACAGACATAAGACTGTAAAAAAAAAATTCAAGGTACCTACATACATGAATGGTTAAAAATGTTCCAATGTACGTTTCGTAAAATTTAATTAACGTAGGTACATAATATATTAATTATAATATTCAGTTGTTACCTGCTTATAAATGAATATAGTTGATGATTAAATTTAATTTTTTATGGGTACTAGTAAAAATGTATGAGATAAGCTTGGTGTATATTCTAATTATACAGACGATTTCATATTTTACTCAAAATACCTTCATAATCCTAGGACTCAATTAGTATATATTTCGTTTAAACCCGAGTCAATGACTAAATTTTTTTTTCACGTTCAGGTGTGGGAACTTAAGTATGCACTAATTTATCTGAATTGCTAAAAATGATAGCATAACAAATAACCATTTAATTTCAAATGATTGATAGGTAGGTAGTTAAACTTGTTCAACACAAGCAAAATTAAGATAAAGGTGTCATAGAATTAACGTTTAAGGACTAAATTGTAAATACCTACGCAATAGAACGTAATAGCGAGGCAGTTTAAACAGCGTATTGTACAAGAATGAAATAAAGTAAAACACATTACATCTTTCGGCTGGTCGACCGTTTACAATCAATCTTTGGACGTTTAACCACTAGGTATTACAGGGGAAGACATCATGCAGAAAGTTCCTAGTAGTGGAGGGGGGGGGGGGTGAGAGGGGTGAAAATGTACTAAAAATTGAAATAACACTCCGAAATAACCTCAAACAAGGAGAAGGAGAGCTTTCGAAATGTGGAGAAAAAGACTTGTTCGAACAGGGTCGGAGGGGGTTACGGGCGTGTTTCGTCTGGAGACCCGGTCGCACGCCGCAGAGTCGAAAGGGGAAAACCGGCGGCGTCCGCGACCATAACCTATTAAAATCGCACACGGGCGCGACGACGGCAGACGCTATGGCGGCAGCCGTCCCCTATCCAAACCCAACGCGAACTCACCTCGTAATAGGCGCCGTTCTCGAAGAGCACCTCGACCTTAAGATCGTCCATTGCTGTGCCGGGTGTGTGTGTGCGGGCGTGTGGCGTTGCTGATGTCTCGTCGTCGCGTGTCTGGGTGGCGCGCTGTATATGGCGGCAGCGGTGTCGGTGTCGGAGCAGCGATGAGGCGTTCTCGGCGTGCCGTTGGTGGCGGATTCGGCGGTGCGCGTATGCGGCGAGTGACGGCAGACGTGACCACGACTACGAAACGTACGTGCGGTAAGGCGGCGCCCGTGCGTGCGTGCGATACGGCTTCGGCGGCGTCTCGGTGTACAGCAATAATATTATTAAAATAATAAAAAAAAAAAAATAACAATATATCGATACAAATAAGGTATAAAATTAATAATATAATTAACCGAAAACGCGTTACGTTCCGTGCGTGCGTGTGTATAATAACGATACGCGGGGATTTTCGGCGTTTTTTACACTGTACAATATTATTATCCGCTGCTCTTCGTTCGGTCGGCGAGTGAGTGAGTGCGTGCGTGCGTACGCGACGAGTGTTATCGGGGACGCGCGCGCAACGGCGGCGCGGTGGTAACGAATAACGACGATGAATGGGGAGGGGGGAGAAATAAGAGATTTTGCTGCTAGTACTATAGTAGTATAGTCCCGAGTCCTGAATCCTGTCCACTATATTCTATTATTCTCTAGTCTCTACGACTTCTGACTTTCTGAGAGTCGGAACTCGGTCCTCGGAAACTCTAAAATTCTGAATCCAAAGTAGTGCCGACGAGTACTGTACGTCGATCGGTTTAGCGATTGTCGTGTTGCTACTAAGTATACTAGTCCACTGCTAATGTGAGTAATCGCGAGCGGCCAACGCCGACACAAATGATAAACGACGTCCGTGGCCAAAAGGTGTTCTCCGGAGCTTCTGCCGGTTCGTATCTGCGAGCTTCGGGGAAAACGCGGGGGGACGGGGCGAGATGAAAATTATGTTTGGTCCTAGCGATAAAAATGTATAATATTATTATGTTTTTTGTACCCTCTGCCCTGTGAGCTGTCGTCACAACGTGCGTGTCGCTACTCGCTTATATTAAAATACGGTGCCAAACTGCGAAACATAAAATTCGAATTAAATAGTGAACATCTGTGGGGGAATATTGAGAAATGAAGAATGAGAAACGATGTATGATGTATATTAATATATTATGTATATTATATATTATCTTGTATATAATATTTTATATTTCCAGCTTTTATTAACGTTGGCGGGGGTGAGGGAAAACAAAAAACCACGAGGGAAAAAAAATGTTTTTTTCGTCAAATCCTCAATTCATGATGCGGTGCGTACGCGGATGAGCCAATGGCATCGGGCCGATCGGCGTGCAGTGTGACCGGTGACAGAAGCGAGCAAAATTCCTTTTTCTGGCGACATTGTTTTTGTTTATTTTTATCAGCTGCTGCAACTAACGCTACCCACCGGCTAAACGAAATAATAAATAATCCTACTTTGCAGCTGCTTCTGTAGGCGCTCTGATGAACCCATTGCACCAAAATAAATGCACTTTTGCTGCACCGCGGTATTGGCGCAAAATTCAAACCGACCATATGGTGCACATATCATAAGCAGCCGATGACTACATTAATTGCATGGCGCAGATAGCCAGTCACTTAAAACCTACTTTAGATAATCATCACTTGATTTTATTATTTACTATTTAGTGATTACGCTGATAGTCAACACTTGTTTTTATTATTTACTATTTACTTAGTAAAAGTAGTTTCAAAAAAAAATATTCATTTAATGAAATACATCACTATCAGTGATTGGCTGACTGTATTATTATAATATAATTGAGATTAAAAATTATCTATTTATTTTTCGCATGCATATATTTTATTAATTATTATCGTAGTAAAAGTGATTAGATTTTCTTCAACAGTATCTTTTCTGATAGGAAAGTGAGTCGAGTTGGTACTTTGGGGGGGGGGGGGGGGGTCAAAAGTAAAAATTTTCCAGTAGCTTTTCAAAGCGCCGTGAAAATCAAAAGAAAAATTAAGGAAAAACGAGTGTTTTTAAGCAAAATCGATTTTGGTTTTTACTTTTTGATGTAACTCTAAAACAAATAATCATAACATTTTGACTGAATGTTTATATTAGCATTTTTTTTATACATCATAACATTTTCAAAATATTTTGAGCTGTTTACGGACATTTTCAATTTCCAATTTTTTTAGTTTTTATCTATAAATATCAATACAATTTAATTTGTTGGATAAAAATATCTTGAAAATGTAATAGCAGGCTAAATGTCGCCTAAAATTGGCTAATATATTGTTTCAAAGACAGATAAAAAATATTAAGAATCCAGTCACAAATTTTTTTATAAGCATTTAAAGTTCATTTATTGACAAAATACTTAAAATTCATGAAAATGTGCAAATTACATTGAGTTAGAAATTCATAAAAATTTTCTATTCAAATCTAAGATTTGAAAATATAATTCAAAATTCCTCAAAAGTTTGTCTACCTTTATCAAAAAAAAAAAAATGTCTACTAGCAAATCAAATTGAATTTTCATGAGCATTTGAAGTTCATATTTGTACAAGATTGGATATATTGTTGTATTGTTGAAATTCAAAAACGAATAACTGTAGATACATGAAAATTTCACTTAATGTTTATATTTTCATTTTAGAAATACCATAACATTTTGACTCTTATTGAGCTGTTAACAGGCCTTTTCTATAATTGTCAATAAAATGTTATTTGTTTTGTAAAAAAGCGTGACAATTTAATACAAGGCTCCTGATATATGGCGATAATAGCAATTAAAAATACATAAGCACAATTTTTTTTTATAAGCATTTAAAGTTTGAATTTTGACAAAATTTATGATTATTTTTAGTCAAAAATGTATAAAATACATTACTTTTATAGCTAAGGATTGACAATTTAAAACAAGGTTCCACGTAAATGAGGTATATATAAATTACTTGATTCACAATAATATCATCAAATATACATATACTTAGTAATATCATAGAATAATATTGTAGGCTGACAATGTATGTCTGTCATTTTACCTATGCGTATGCCCATGTCACCACATATTACTTTAGAAAATTACTAACATTTTTTTTCAAAAAATACCGCCTGTGACTTCAAAAATATTCAATCCAACTTCTGCAATTAAAAATGTTTGTCATATAAATTGTAAAACTAGTTGGAAATAAATAAATATTATTATTAAAAAAAAAAACTACTCATATTAATACCTTTAAGATAACATTTTATTTTTAAACTCCCAACCACCATCACAAACATTTTAAATCAATTAATTGAATTGGTAGTTTCTCATGTGTATTTAAAAATCATTATTCAGATTAAATATTAACATTAATCTATAGGTATATCATTTTAGGTAAAAATTTGAACACCAAGAAACAAAATAACTAAAAGAAACCATTTTACTGCTTGAAAATGTTATTTGGACGGTGGCAAAGAAATAATTCAATTATTTATTTGTTTTAATAGATGAAAATAAACCATATAAAGTAAAAAATATAAATTAACGTTTCGTTAATTTTTTAAGCATAATAATTTATGTTAGATTCCTTTTTAGCTTGCACTTCCATTATGGCATCCATAAAATCTTCATGAGTAACAGTTGACGCACCTCTTCTCAAAGCAATCATACCCTAAAAAATAAAATAAATCATATTATTTAATGATGGGTTAAATTTTAATTCTTCAGTATACATATAAGGAAATAATATTGATAGTAAACATGAATAGTAAGAAAACAAAGAGAATTGAAAGAAACATATAATATGAATGGAGAAACAACAAATTCAAAGTAAGAAGAACCATTAGAATAAATGTCCGAATAACTAATAGTATTAGCATTGATTAAATATATATTTAATCAATGGTATTAGGTATATTATGCAATATTTTCGGTAAAAATTAGTTTACCTACCATGTCAACAGGGGCGAACTGGGAGGTATTCTATAAAACTAAACAGCCGAAAACCCTTTATAACAGCTTCTTTATGAATACCTAGGTACTCTTTCGGGTAGTGTATCAAATATATAATATACCTATTAATTTGTCTTGTAGTCCAGAGAATCTCTGAAAATATACCTACTAAATACCTTATTGCAAATATTTCCGATTATAATTTATAACAGTGATTACACCATACACCCAAAATATTAGTTATTGATTAGGATACCTCGTCTTTGTAATGTAAAGTGTGTTGGTGTATTAAATCTTAAAGAAACGAAACAATAAATCATATCTTAAATGAAACGATTCTAATCAATTTTTCAGTGTAATATACAGAAAAAAAATAATTTTTAGAAATCAAATTTATATCAAACAATTTTTCAACCATAATTTTCAAGTAAGTGTTTTTTCTATTAAATCTGAAGTATTTTTCACATTTTAAGTACATCTGAAAAAACTAAATTTTCCAAAATATCTCGTTCAATAGACATAAACATTTTCAAATTATCTGCTCTAAAGATGACCTCAGTCTGTTTTTAATTATTTTTAGTTTACTAAATAACCACAGAGTTAAAATGTATTTAAAAAAAAAAAAAAAATATTAATATTTCAATATTTCAAAGAAATTAGCAAATTATTAACATAATATAATTAACAACAATCTTAATTGTGATGGACATTGTATTTTTCAATTTTATTACATCCTAATATAAATATAATTTATTTCAGAATGCATTAAATGTTTTAAGATACAGAGTGTAACAGGAACACCTGACGGATAAAAGAACTTTTGTTCTAATCAATATATACATTTTTTTTTATAAATAATTTATAGGGGTCGATCTATTTTACTGATCTGCTGATTTACTTGAACTAAGGTATATGTATAATATAAAATAAAATTTTTTCTAATGAAAATTGAGGGGGGACAATCCAAAACGTACTATTGGCATTTTTCAGTAGGTATGGCCAATTTTGCGGTTTGAAGCTATAGAATGTCGTACATTTAATAATGAACCATCAATAAATTCAGTAAAATATTATATGGTTGCTTATGGAGTAAACCAATTTTTGAAATTCTTATAAAGCCAATAAATCAACTATACTAAAGATAAACTTACGTCAAAACGTACTATTTCCTAAAAATAGTACACTTTGAATAAATTAGTCAACATAGTTCATTTTGGAAAAATAATGGTAATTTTTTCCAAAACGTACTATTACCAAAAATCATTTTTTAGTTTATGAAAACTCATTTAATTTGATCAAAATTTTACTTATTATAGTATTAATTTTATAAGTATAAGGTTATAAGAAATATTTATTTACTATAGGTAATAGGTTACATTTTATGTTACATTGTTACACAAAAGAGTACTTTTATTATAAGGATATGATGTATGATTACAAATTTTCTTAGTAAAAATAATAAAATATAAATGGAGTAAAATTTTAAAAAATTTTAATTAAAACTTATACAAAATAATTATATCACTGTCCTTTTTTTATTGTATTTAAATATAATACTATCATTAAAAAAAAAATAACAAATCAATCCATTAGTCATCTTCTGGTTCATACAAAGCAATATTTTCATCAGGACCTTCATCATTGCCACTGTTCTGAAATATATCTTCATAAAACTGTTTTGCATGTTGATGCACTTCAAAAAATCTCATGAGATTTTTATCGTCTTTCTGTTTTGGTAATTTGATGTGATTTGTCTTAGGAAGCTGTATACGATTATCAGTCATTGATAAAAGCTTGCCATTTCTTTTAACAACTTCTATTTTATCTAGAAGTCCTCCGTATGTTTTAGAAATTCCCACTGTATATTCACCTTTAATATAAGTAAATACTTTTTGTTGTGTTGATTTGAAATCATTTTTACTTTTCACTATAGTTTTAATAGAAGTTTGTAATCAAAAACATTAAATTTTTTGTTATAAATGTTTACTGTTGCATACTTTTCAAAAACTGTAGGTATAGTATTCTTGTGGCAAAATAATTGTTTCTTTCTTATTAAGTTCTTTCTCAATCCGTTATTTATGAACTATAATAGGTAGTGATAACTTAGTTCAAACACGATTTGCTACCATCAATAAATAGATAAGAAAAATAATTTTTTATTGATAATAAATAATAATTAATAACCAAAATTAAGTCATTTTAATAGTTGATAATTTTTCCCTAACTTTTGAATATTATTTAATTAACACTACTTACTTAAATGGAATATTAAATATTGCCAAGTATAAAATTAGGAAATAGTACGTTTTGGCTTAATGAAACCTTGTTAGTTGTTGGCAGTATATTAACATGGGAAATAGTGCGCTTTGATGTACAGTGGAAATAGTACCTTTTGGAAAAAATATAGGCAATAATATAGCCAATAGTTAATTTTGCTCTAACTTTTATAATGATATCTATGATTTAACATAGCCAATATAATAGTGCGTTTTGGAGAATGTATAAATTGTACGTTTTAATCGCTGTAAATAGTACGTTTTGGTCTAATTGCAATTTTTTTCATAGCGATTTATACCGAAAATAATAATTTTTTCTTTATTTTTATCACACCAAACGATTTCCCGCTATTTATACAATATGATTTCGTGTATAACTCAATTTCGTCAAAAATGCCAATAGTACGTTTTGGATTGTCACCCCTCAATTTGAAAAATTCAAAATAGCCAATTTGTAAATTACAAAAATAAATTTGTATAAGAACAACTTTGTAGATAAAAACATTTGTCTCAGTAAAGTAAATTATTTTTTAGAATTTTTTATAGTACTTATAGAAATTTTTTTGAGTAAATTAATTTAGAATGAAATAACTTTTTTCAAAATATTTTTTTTTGGGAATTTCTTGACATGAATATATTTCTTAAATTATTTATTAAGTATGTTGTATATTGTATTATAATTTCTTAACCAACAATATTAAAAATCAGTTTTATCTAGAAAAATGTTTAAACAATTTATATGATTTAGTTGGTACATCGACCGCCAGAAAGTTATTCCTAAACTACAATCATTGAGCCATTTGTAAATATTTATGAAAATATTGTAGATTTGCTGAAAAAGAGAACAGAAAATATTTATAAAAATCTTGAAGTTTATATTTAAAGTAATGACTATAATAATGCAATGATTCTGAAACTGATTAAGATGATTTTGGGTTAATACGAGTATGAATAATATGACTATGAAATAAATGATAAAAACAATAGAAAACAAACATAAAAAATATCAAAAGGATTATACCTACGTTTATCATTCTTATAATATATATAATATAACTTATTGGCTATTGCTTATTTATAATTTATATACGGACTGTGACAGGAAGACCTGATAAAAAAAATAAAATACGATGCTAACGTATGACAAAAATTGTGAAAGTCTAGACTATAACTGATGAAACTGATTTTTAAAATTGTTGGTTAAGAAATTATTATACAATATACCTACAACATACGAATACCTAATATGTGCTCATAATATTATTATTATCATAAACTTATGTTTCGACTATGAACTTATTGTAGAATTGTACCAACCAATAGCAGTGGTTTTTAAACTGTTTTGAATTTAAAAATACATTTATTAGTAATATCGTCAAATGTTCAAATGCCCACACATATAAGCCTACCCGGTGTGCTCTGGCACACTAGCACACCTGGCCAGTCCTCTCCTGCAAGTCCATATTACCAATAGAGTCATATAAATAAGTTATAAAATATCATTGGAAATAGTCAGCCATATTATCTCTAATTAAATTATTTTTTTTTATCACTGAATTCAAATTTAAGGACCCTGCAAAAGTGTCATTCTTAAGTTGGGTATGTGCAATTTTTCCACTTCTTGGGGTCACAGCTCGTCTTAACGTGTGTAGTAAATGATTATTAGTGTGTGTATACTCCCCCACAACCCCCCGCATTATACATATTACACACCCACTTCAAGCATGCACATTTAATTTATTCATTAGATAAAAACATTAAAAATCAATTTATGGACATGAAATAGCTATACACCTGACAAAAATTAAAGTACTTCCAAAGGTATTATTTAAAAATTTTAAAGATTTTTGAATGCATTAACGAGACTACTTTGCATTGGTCGGAGTAGTTTTTCAATTTTAGAAATTTCTTGATGGTAATAAACATTTTAAGATTTATCAATTTTTCAATTCTGTATACTAAACATATTAAAAACCTATAAACATATTGAATATATGGTCTGGCCCATGCAAAGTAAACTTCTTAACTAAATCAAAAATCTTTATTTTTTTTAAATCAAACCATTACAAGTATCTTAATTGCTGTCAGTAGCTGTGGTCGTTTTGATGAGAAATTTACAGGGTTTACTGGGGCCTTAACATATTATCTATAACAGTAGCAGTTACCATCTAAATCTACTACACAGCAGCGACTTTATCAGTTTTATAATACATAATACAGCACATACTATTTTTGGTACAAGTAATAAAACAATTAGTATTAACTAAAATAGCGGGGACATGGTTTCTAACTACCTGTGGGTGCCCTTTAATATAACTGGTGTTAAAAGTCAACTTACAGCTTCGACACAAACAGCCTTGCATTGTGCCCCATTAAAATCGTCAGTAGATCTTGAAAGTTCTTCAAAGTTAACATCAAATTTGTTCATCTCTCTAGAATGAATCTGCATAATACGTGCACGAGCTTCTTGATTGGGGTGTGGGAACTCAATTTTTCTATCTAATCGGCCAGACTTCAACAATGCTGGGTCCAAAATATCTACTCTGTTAGTAGCTGCAATTACTTTTATATCGGCTGTTTAACTGAAACCATCCAATTGATTAAGGAGTTCCAACATTTACATAGTTCTTTGTACTTCTCGATCACCAGCTTTTTCAGAGTCAAAACGTTTTGTACCAATTGCATCCAGTTCATCAATAAATATTATTGCAGGTGCTTTTTCTTTAGCTAAAGCAAATGCATCTCGTACTAATTTTGCTCCATCACCAATAAACATATGTACCAATTGTGGACCAGCAAGCTTTAAAAATGTTGATTTTGTTTGAGCGGCACATGCTCGAGCTAAAAGGGTTTTCCCAGTACCAGGTGGACCGTACAAAAGAACTCCTTTTGGTGGTTGTATACCAATATTAATGTATTTCTCTTTGTGTGTCATAGGTAACACTACAGCTTCAATAAGCTAAAATAATATGATTTCGAGATTTAGTATGAAAAAACAGAAGTCTATAACTGAGAACAACTTACTTCTTGAATTTGTTTGTCCAAGTCACCGATATCTACGTATTGTTCAGTTGGTCTTTCATCAACCTCCATTGCTTTAATGCGAGAATCATATTCAGCTGGTAATGTTTCTAATACTAGATACGAATCTTTGTTAACACCGACCAGGTCACCTGGTTTTAATTGTTCTGGATCTACTAGACCAATAACAGGTAAGAAGTAAGTCTGTAATAAAAATAATTCATGTTTAGAACAAGGAATGAGACAATACTAAAACTACATTATTAATATTTAAAACAACTGCTAACTTATCTTGTTGATGTTTTAATAACTGCACATTTCCCTGTTCTTTGGCTGTCTAAATCAACTACAGCACCGTCTTCTTCGGTATCTTGTGGGTCGACATCTAATAACTCTATCACATTAGATACCAAATAAGGCAATGTCTTGCTAACTTTAATCTTTTCTGTATTCTCTTTAATCTTGTCAGCTTGCGATTGCAGTTCATGCGATATACGCATAACATCACTTTTCATGACTTTTATTTCATTGTCTAGCAGACGTGTGCGTGATGTTATTTGTTCATTGGACATGAACAAAATCTCATCTTCTACCTGGTCCTATAATTAATTACAATTGGTTAAGTAATAAACATTTATATATTATAATATGTATAGTGTACTTGTAAGCATACACTAACATAACAATTCATTTTAAAAACAGAACTTACACTGTCCTCCCAAACTGATGGATCTTCTAATGTGTTACTGGTTACTTCTTCAGTCATGTTGTGAATCTGTTTTTTATTTTGGTAATATTAAATCACTATTCACTAATTACAATAAGTGAAAACTAACCTAACCTGAAGTCATGACAACATAGATATTATAAGAATGGATAGGACACGCCTATGCCATGGCTTAAGATAATCAGGTTACGAAACGAAGCTGTGATTATTGAGGCCCTAGTCTGTCAATCGCATTGAACTATAATAGATTTATTATCATATAGTTCAATGGTCAATCGTCAGATGCCATAGACCTATAAATAGTTTATAGGTCTATGTCGGGTACCATCGAGAATGATACCTAGCTTTCCATGTGGTACTATTTAGCTTTATTTATATTTTTCCACGATCATTTTTGAATTTTGGGGCAATTTTTGCCATGTATTTTAGTTTTAACCACTTTTTATGCCATACACCACGACCACACTACCACAGTTAAACAAAAAACCGCACCAAGTGCTCACGAATTTCTAACTTTTCAAGGTTTCAAACGTTGGCGTTTGTTCTGAAAAATGTTTCCGTTACAGAATTTCCTCATAATAAAATCGGTTTAAATTAAGAACGGCTCAACTCGTATCATGTAAATGTACCCAATAATTCTTTATTTAAGGGGGCTGGTCGCTGGAGCGTAATCAAAAGGAGTAAAAACTATAGGCATTTTATATTTATATATTTACCTGGGTCTTAAGAATGTGTTGAAAGTAAATGAACATTAGTGTGTGTAATGATCACGTTTTATAGGGGCATCATAATACGTCCGTCATTGCACATGTCACCAAATATTACTTAAATATTATAAATAGGTATATACTTTATGAAATTGGGAACATTTATTTTTCAAAAAATACTTTCAGTAGGATGTTCCTATTCAAATTTTGAAAGCAGATTTGAATTCTCTTCTAAATTTACAATGCTTTGACTGACGTAAATTTTTTATATTCTATATCAATTAGGGTTAACATTTAATATTTATGGTTGACAATAAAAGAGGACATTTTTTTCAAGATCATGAAAATAATTAATAAGTACATTTTATTTTTCTTATAATGTACCTATTGGCTATAGATCCTACTGTAATAATAATATGATATACATGATATATCATTAGGTATTAATTATATTTAATTGTACACATTTATTAGTTGACATTTGACTTTGATATTATCAATGTATTTAAATACATTTGAATTATGAATATGATCTTTTTTTACACTTTTTGTTACTAAATTTCTGAGTAAAAAAAAAAAAAAAAAAAGGTGGGTAAGTGGATGTCGCTCTGCTGTACAGTAGGTTACAAGTGGATCACTGTATAATGGATGCTATTAAATTTGAATTCAATGATACAATATCATTGTATAAGAAAAACGATTCTGAGCGAAGACGGTATGTCAGTCTAGGTTTAAGACAAATTATATACATATCTATGGTATTAAAAAAAATTGACCTATAATAAATTCCAAATTAATCATATCACATTATCACAATATCCATTAGGTACTTATAACACGTTATACATCAACATCAATAACAACCCTGATACTATCATAGATATATAATAGTACACTTTAGAAGTTTCAAGTAGGTACCCACGAATAATATTATATAATCACAACAAAATAACTAGGTTTTTTAATATGTAATTTCGTTAAAATTTTAACATAAAATGACTATAAAAATAAACTGTGATTGTATATATTTTAGATTTTTCTTTAAGAGAATTAACTACTTATGTGGAATCTTGTTTTTAATTTACAACCCTTAGCTATAAAAACTGAACATTTTATAATTTATTAATTACGATGATTAATAATTTTCGAGATTTTGAAAAATTCTGTCAAAATTCGATGTTTAAATGCTTATAAAAAAAAATTGTGCCTATGTATTTTTAATATTTTTCAACTGATATTGTAACAATATATCAGGAGCCTTGTATTACATTTTTACACTTTTTGGCACAACAGATAAAACTTTATTAATACATATTCATAAAAAAAAAAAACTAAAAAAAAAATTGAAAGCTGTAAATGTCCGTAAACAGCTCAAAAGAGTCAAAATATTTTCGAAATCTTATGGTGTATAGGAAATGTTAATATAAACATTCAGTGAAATTTTCATGTATCTATAGTTATTCGTTTATGAATAACAACAAAATAAGGAAATCGCTAGATGAGAAATCGAGTGAACATCCAATGTTGTAAAAATTTGAATTTCAAACGCTCATAAAAATTTAATTTGACTGTCCGGTAGATATTTTTTTATTGATAAAGGTAGACAAACTTATGAGTAACCTTGTATTACATTTTCAAATCTTAGTTAATTCATAGGGACAATGCAGGTTATCAACGTTCAGGTATAAACAAAATATTTAACTAGAGTTAAATAACTAAAAAAAAAACTTGAAGGGGGATGTTGGCGCCCGAAGGCAAATGCGTTTTAGAATACAAAAAAAAAAAATTAGAAACTAAACAATAGGACCACATATGAAAGAGTTCCAAACTAAAATGTCCAGAAACTTAACAGAAAAAACTATTCAAAATGATAAGATCATTAAAGAAAGATAATTCATAGGGACAATGCAGGTTATCAACGTTCAGGTCTAAACAAAATATTTAACTAGAGTTAAATAACTAAAAAAAAAAATTGACGGGGGGTGTTGGCACCCGAAGGCAAATGCGTTTTAGAAAACAAAAAAAAAAAACTAGAAATTAAACAATAGGACAACACATGAAAGAGTTCCAAACTAAAATGTCCAGAAACTTAACAGAAAAAACTATTCAAAATGATAAGATCATTAAAGAAAGATAATTCATAGGGCCAATGCAGGTTATCAACGTTCAAGTCTAAACAAAATATTTAACTTGAGTTAAATAACTAAAAAAAAAAAAAAATTGAAGGGGGGTGTTGGCGCCCGCAGACAAATGCGTTTTAGAAAACAAAAAAAAAAATTAGAAATTAAACAATAGGACCACACATGAAAGAGTTCAAACTAAAATGTCCAGAAACTTAACAGAAAGAACTATTCAAAATGATAAGTTCATTAAAGAAAGAAGATTCATAGGGCCAATGCCATCAACAGGATTTCAGAATGTTTAGCTTATATGAAAGGGAAATGCGAAAAGGAAATGTAATTTTAGGTTAGGTTAGGTTAGCGAAGTGTTTGTAGCAGATATGAGAATATTAAGTTAGGTGTTATTGAGGTACAAAGGAGGATAGAATAGGAAATGTATTAATTAAAGGTTGTGTAGTGTTGTGTTGTGGCATATATTGTAGTGAAAACAAGAGAGAACAGGTTTAGGTGGCTCCGTGACTGTATGATAAAATATAGTGAGAGTGGCTATAGAAGTTAGAGTCTGAAGAAAAGATGGATAGACAGAATACCGATCATATGGAGGTGTGGGATGAGAGTGGTTGAACCTGAATAGTTGTGAGAGAAGGGGGAAGAAAAAGTGTGAAGGTAGAATAGTTATGTTAACAATGCCGAATACGTAGTAAAGGATCTTGAATTGCAAAGGTCACTTGACTCTTTGGCTGAAACTACCGTTATCAGTTGATATAGGTTTACAACCTTAACTTATGGGATAGAATAAAAAAGATCGGTTGCCGGTTGGGATGACAGCGCCATAGATATATACAACAACTAGATAGCCGTCTCCTTTTTGTCATCGAAGTCGACCCCCCATTTACAAAGCAGGCAATGTTTACAAAATAATATTATCATAGTATACATAAATGTATATAATTAAATGTAAACATTGCCTGCTTTATAAATGGCGGCCGATTTCAACATTGGTCATAACTGTAATATAAAGACGGCTATCTAGTTGTTGTATAAATCTATGGCGATGACATCCCAACCGCGATTTCGGGGGAGGGGGGGGGGGGCAAAAGGAGCAGTTGCTCCGGGCGGCAGGGACGGCCAAATAATTAAGAGTGGCAAAAAAATGTCGTTTGTAATATAATAAAAGTAAAATATTTAGTAGAATAAATATTAATTTTTTTTTACGAATTTGCGATGTCAATATTGTCAGAATATCTAAAATCGTAATGGAATCTTATATTAGAACTTATAGGTCTACTTATTTTAAGAGAACGCTGTTTATGGACCTTGTTTTCGTAATAACCTAGTACCTGCGTACTAATTGAACTATTTTTAATATTATCACTATTCATCACTACATAATATATTGACATGTTATAGCCGCCGGGGCACCGAACTGCCAGAATTATAAGATATTGCCACCTACCATTATATTTTTTTTTTTTTTTATTAATTTTTATCCTGCGGCAACTTAGGCCATTGGGAGAGGGGGTTGGTACTGTAGGTTTTTTAACGGTAGGTGGGTGTTACACGTGGGTGTATTTTGGCAGAATTTTGAATGGGGCACCCGTAGGTTTCTGCCATGCCCCGGAGTGGGGGATGGCGGCACTTGTTTTCCGGACACCGTGACTTGCCCGGAGAAAATGCCGCCCAGTGGCCGGGAGTCGAACCCGCGACTGCCAGCGCCGCAGACGACGAGTTAGACCGCTCGGCCACCTCGTCCCCCACCATTATATTGCAGTACTGACTACTGAGACTATGTAGCTTGTTATTCGATTATAATATCTATTATATTCCTATATATTTGTATCTTTACTATTTACTTGTACAAGAAATAACGAAGGTTTTGAACTTGGTAAATTTTTAGGATAATGTTAGTGTTATATAATATTTAAAATTTTAGACATAGTACCTATACCTACTTCCTTAGTCGTTTATCATTACAATAATTCATAGGTATAGGTATAGAATATACCATATAAGAGACATGAGTTTGAAATTAATAATGAAACGTAGACATATTGTGTATGTAATCATTTATTAATTTGTATAAATTGTATCTGGTTCATGTGTTTAAATATATTGTAAAATACAATACCTAACCTAAAAAGGCGAATTATTGGCGTCATATTTATGTTTGCTTCCCCATAAATTGTCCCTTGATACAGCCCTGTGACACTAA